CTGTGGTCTCGTCAATCCAGCGAGGAGGAGGATACAATCATTCCGGAGACTGCTCAGGATCCCATCGTCGATCCTGGAGCAGCTGAGCCGGAGCAGTTCCCCGATGTTCCGGAGGAACCTTCAGCCCCACTTAGTGGTGGCCATGAAGAAGAAGAAACAGCAGCGTCTGCAACGGCAGACGAACCCATGGTTGAAGTTGAGATTGAGGAGGGACCGTCAGCATCTTTGGCACCCCTCGCTCTCAATGACGCCACGGCCTCCGACCTCCTTCCAGAGGAAACGGCAACATTGGACCAGGGGGGAGCATCACCACCAGATGTGCAACCTGAGTCCAGAAAGCGTGTTCGTTTCCTTGAGCCGGAAGATCCCGTCGAGGTCGAGATCGAGATCGAGCCGGACGAAGGCGATGTGAAAAAGGAGGAAGAAGTCAAGGTTGAGCCGATGTACGAGCAAGCGCCTCCGCAGCCTACATCCACACCTTTGGCACTCCCTCCAGCCCCCGTTACGGGTGGCCGCCACAGAGCTTGCCCCCACTGTGGGACGCAACACCTTGTGGGACAGATGATCTGTCTCAGCTGTGGCGTGCACATTGTGAAGCCTTCTCAACAGAGCGCTCGCAAAAAGGTGCGGACAGCCCGATGGTTCGCCGAACAAGCTGCAGCGGCCACGGCCGGTAAACCGCGATCCCAGCTCACTCCAGAGGAGGTCATCCACGAGATGACGAGGGATGCTACCACGCAACGCGGGACTACCTCCTTGGACGCAGAAGCACTTGACAAGGCGCGGCAACAGCTGAAAATGGCGGTGAAAGGAGGATACACCAGCATCGTCCACCGGTTCGATAATGATGTCGATTACACCATGAACTCCATCGGCAATGGATTCGACCGGGAATTTCTCGCCATTGAGGATGTCCTCACTCATGCTGGTTTGCCAAACCACGGACGTTCCAAGGAGCAGAGGCAGCTCGCTATCGGCACCTATGGCGGCGCAGACGGCCCTCGGAACCAGGAAATCGCAAGGTTGCTCTACCTGCACGAGTGCAATCCAGCCGCCCTTAGGGCAGGCCTGATTTCCGCTGTCAGTGACGATCCTTTCTGCATCATGTGGCTTGGAGGGGCATACAGTCTGCGTAAGTTCGTAGATGTTTTCCTTCAGCACAAAATTGTGCGAATGATCGTGACCTTCTCAGAGGAAGCACTCTACATTGACCCACGTCTCGGATATTCCGCTGACGAATGGGTCGAGTGGCTTCAGTCGAAGTTTGCGGATCAGGTAGGAGTTGCACGCCGCGCGTATGAAGAGCGCCAGCGTAATGCCGAACGCTCTCGCATTGCACAGGCTAAGGCTGATGCACGCAGAGCCGAACAGCAGCGATACCAACAGGATTGGGACCAAGGCTATCAGCGCGGGTCCCACCCCTACGGTCGCTCCTCTGGTTCCCGAGGATGGTACTAAGTACCTGATCGACATTTCGTGGTTCCGTCACGTTAACCGGTACTCCGATATACAGCCCCTCTTAGAGGTGGCCGAATTTCCTTAAGACCAGAAAAATTTCATGCTTCATTTCCTGGCAGTCACTTTGTGACAAATCCGAACAGTCAGCAGCTCCAGTGGATGATGTATTCGTCCCACGCTGCACACGTTCTTGCGACTCGTATCCACGCCAACATTCAAGGCTTGCTGGATCGTCGCCACTTTATAATGCATGTCGCGACTTTAAACTGCGCGCTAAAAGAATTAATCTGCTTCCGTATCTTCCGCTTTACGGTAGTAGAAACTCTATGAGCCCCAAGCCACAATCCAGCCGCCTTGATGGCAGGCCACACAGCACCAAGCTTCCGTGCATGTTTGCGCCTCAGACTGACGCTTCGGCGAGGGGGGTGTAATTTGTGCACGTGTGAAGTATCATGTTGTGTGTATGGCATTGTGGCACAAGTGCTCTGAGTGAAAAAGAGTAGATGCCCAATGGTATAACTGCGTTATTCCTCAACACTTGGACGGGTGTACAACAGTGCGTGTGTGCAGTGGTTTACAACAACTATACTGCTGCTTAGGGTTTGGGGTTTAGGGTTTAGGGTTTAGGCCCCAAGTCTCTTGACTAAATACCGTTCCTGTGCAAATTCCCCTAGATGGATGTATTCCCGCAGCAGCGCTCCAAACACCTAAACCCTGAACCCCCTAACTCAATCAGAAACCCTGTTTGTCTCCTATGGCAAACCTGCTAAAGCTGTTCTAAACCTTGTTGATTTCCGTAAACCCTAGCCGTAGCCCTTTGTGGCAGGCCGTGTTCGTGGGATGTGTGTCTTTGGCATCCTCTGTTGGTCGCGTGCCTCGCCCGCGAGTCTAAGCGCCAAACCATGAAGGGGTGGAGGGTTCAGGGCCTCCGGTTTAGAGGCTAGGGTTTTTTGGTCTTTTAGGATATTAGGGACTGAGGTTTGGGGGTGGATCCAACAGCCCACTGTGTCAGGCAGCAGGCCCTTAACATTATTACCGATAAAAGCCAGGAAGTGCACCCCAGCAAAGCAAAATTTGGTTTAAGGTCCTTGCAGAAGGTTCGCTTGGTCAGGATGCTGCCTACGAAATTTGAGAAAACGTTGGAAGATGCATTGTGACTCCGCCCTACACCCCTGATCCCTACACCCGTATGATTTGGGACTCTCTGCTGGGGGTTTTGAGGGGGCCGGGGCAGGTGCTTTGGCTCTTCCCTGGAGTGGTGTAGCGTTTGGGGGTTTAATTAGGGTTTATTTAGGCTTTGCGGTCCCATGCTTTGATACGTTTTCTTTATGGAGGAGTCCCTCAACCAGTTCTAACCTCTTAACTATGGAGAGAGGGTGTTTCTAGGGGTTCAATCCTACAAGGTATTCCCAAAAAAGAACTACTGTGGAGCCTATGGGTAGAGCCCTGACAAGTGTGGGAACTGCTGAGGCGGAGGTACAACTGGCAGAACTAAAGGGTCCTAGGTACTGTTATGGGGAATATTTCCCCAAATCATAGTAGTAACTCTTATTATACAAACCCCACATTCTACTGTACAAGTAAACCCTAAACCGCCAAACGCTAAGCCTTAAGCCTCAGTTATCGGGGTCTTTGCTTTGCAGGCCTTTAGAAGGGTCTCTATCATCGTTTTACAAGCGAATTGCTGAGGGTGACTTGCAAAGACTCTTTTTTTTTTTATATAAAACAGTGTACCAAATTCAGTACAGTCCATTGAATCCATTGTACTCCCTTTGTATCGGTTTTGGGGTACGTGCATTTAGTATATGTATCTAAGGAACCCCACGGAATAGTACTATACACGGGTGATGAAGGCCCAATATTATTTACCCAGGTCTTCCAACCTACCCAAATTAATTAAGGAACACTCTTAAATCATATGCGGGATCCTGCCATGATTTCTGACATGCTCCTGGCTTACCGGACATTTTGGGATTTGTTCAAGTCTGTGGCTAGGGTCCTGCTGCGTGAAAGGAAAGATAACCAAACACAGGAATTACAAAGGAGACTAGGCACACCCAGGTCTCAATGCTCTAAATAGAGCTAGACAGGCCACACTCCAAACCAAAACCCCTGAACCCTGATCCCTGCTACCGGGCTCCAGGAAACCTCAGCAGGAAAAATTGGAATAAGAGCAGCAAGAATGCTAGCAATGATACTAACAATGTAGGGCTACCAACCGTAACGATGTTAAGATGATGTTATGTGTATTAAGAATATGTAGGATGGTAACAAGATGTAGTGATAGCAAGAAGCACATTCATCACCTTAACAGTGTTCATGATCATAACTTTAACTACAGCCATAACCATACCAGTACCAAGAGTAAGAACAATACGACTAAGAGTAGTAGTACTTGTAATTGTCATAGCATACTACCAATGCAGCAAGTGATCATTAATTGATCTTACTAGCTCACACAAAAGAAGCCGCAAGCCTTTATAAACCCTAAATCACGAATTCCTAAGCACTACACCCCATAATCCCTAAACTTGGGCAGCCCAAAGGCTGTTGCTGCCGGAGCGCTGCTGAACGCTCTGTCGTTTGCGGGGTTGGAGGCTTCGTTTTTAGTGTTTTTTTTCCGGTGTTGTGGTGTCTTAATGTAGAGACTTTAATAATTGAAAAGGGTTGTGGCGGCGGGGGGGGGGTGGTGTCAAATTGTACTATACATTACACTAGGGAAACCCCCAAACCCTATTCTAATTCTCAAGGCTCCTACACTAGCAGAGTGGAAAATGCCTAAAAACCTCATTCAAGTTGTCTGCCATGTGGCAGCCCTTTCATTGACGTCAGTTTCACCCACTTGGAGATTCATGGGTAGTTATATGTGATTATATGTGGGGTTATGGGAAAGGTAACTATGGTTGTAACATATTGTAACCCATATTGGGGGACTTAGAACCCCACTTATAATTACCAATTAACCTCCATTATTGCAGTTCCCCAAAGCCCTAGTCTAAATGATAAAGGCCCCCGTAGTAGCCTTACTCGCCATTATAGTGGCCCCTATAGTACCCCTTACAGACCCTGTTTAAAAGGACCCTGTTGAAATTATAAAGGCCCCTGTAGTAGTCTCACGAAAAGGTTGCGTGGATGTTCAAGTCCGCCCATAGGTCGTTGAGGGGTTTAGGCTTTAGTGGTTCAGAGTTTAGGGGTTGAAGGGTTTAGGGTTTTTTTGGCTCAGGGTTGAGGGGTTTTAGGCTTCAGGGGTTTAGTGTTTAGGGTGTAGGGTTATGGGGTTCAGGATTTAGGGTTGGGGTGTTAGGGGTGTAGAGGTTGAGGGGTTTCGGGGTTTAGAGCTTTACGGTCATAGCAAATGATAAACTTTAGCATCCCCAGCTGTTGATTGATATCTCAGAAACATCAGCACTGTCCTACATCTTAACCCCTTAGACGCAACTCGGATCTGGTAGAATGGGGCCCAAATCTACAGCCCTGATTTTCCAGTAATTCAAGTGCATCAAAGACCGCACAGTGCTTCAAGCTGTTCGGCGCAAGGCATGATGCTGTGGTCTTGGGTACAATTCTTGATCCTTTTGGTGGCCATTCATTGGAGAACCGCTAGTGCTGATCTTAGAGAGATGTGTCGTCGTGTCTGGAGCTTTTTAAAGCAACCTTCCGCTCCCAGCAGTCAACAACGGCGTCTCGATGAAGCAATGAATCAGCTTAGGGAGAAGAATTATGTTCTGGCAAGCCGCTTCTTGCGGCAAGTCAACTTTGTTTCGCTGGCCACTTGTCCGCTTGTGAACGCGAACGATCTGCCAACATGCGCCGCTCAGATGTTCGCGTATGTTTGTGCGTACACGATGCACACCTGCATAGCTAATGGGATTGTCACATTGTCTACTTCCGGCCTACGAAAGCTCTTCGTCTTCTACTACTTCTTGGCCGGCGCAACTCTTCTGTTGAATAGTGGCTTCTCTGACAGCACAGCCTTGGGATACAAGGTCATTCTATGCGTTTGCTATATTGACAGTGCGGTTCATGTCCCAGCAAACGTTGTGCTTGCGGTGATGGAGATCTGTCAGCAATTCATGCTGTTTGGCAGAGAGTTCCACGTCCTCGAGTTTGCCCTTGATCATGCAGTTTTTGCGATCCTCGTCTCAGTGATCTCCGTCGTGTTGGAGCGCACCCTCAGAGATCGCCTAGCAGCGCAAATCAGGAATATGGACGCTGAGTCCATTATCGTGGCTTTTCGTCACCGGGCGGGCTCTCAAGTGCCATACTTTACTACTTTTTTCTTTAAGGGAACCATTATGAAATACTAGTTTATATTTTCTTTAGAGCAACCATTGATTATCAGATACTAGTTTATACTTTTTTCTCCCTGGTTTCTTAAACGCCCAGGTCAGATGCTTCGAGGTGTCTGTGACGGCGAAGTTCTCCTAGATGACGGCCTGCGTGTACAAGAAGGTAGCAACTGCCTGAACCAGATTTTGTTTAGAAATGAATCCCTTGACAAGATGGTCTTCCGCAACATCCTCGTTTAGGACCCGGGCGAGCTTGAAACCTTTGATAAGTTCATTTCGCAGCCGCTGGATGCCGGCAAAGCAGCCGGGCAACTTGCTGCCCCGTGTTTGCGTCTATCTCTCCAGTCGGCTCATGCCCATCGAGTTGGGGTGGACGTCTACCACGTGGCACTGCAGCATCTTTACGGTTGCGAGGGCTCCTACCACCTGCTTGGCTTAAAGCTCGACGTGGAGACACAGGCCATCCACCTTAAGGACCCTAAACTATGGGAATTATGGTATATTCCCTAATATGGGTAATGTAGGATTTATATCATCAACCGTACCAGCTGCTTGGCTTAAAGCTCGATGTGGAAGCACAGGCCATCCCTGATGCCGCACATTCTTCCAGCGCGGTGCTCACGCAGCCTGCGCAAAGTGCCGTGAGGCGGCATCTCTCAGGCCATTTGGGTTCCAAGAGCCATTCCCCAAAGGGTCCTATGTTCTGTTATGGGGGATACTTCCCTGGATCCTAATAGAAATTCCTAACATAGAAACCCTACACTCTACTATACAGGTACATAGGACCCTTTGGGTTCTAGTAGGTACTTAGTAGGTCTTTGGCGTTGGGCCCCTCATAAAGTATACTATACCATCCCTAAACCCTATGAACCCCAAACTCTTTTGGAGGACAACGATCTCGGAGACGCTCTCCACGATCCAGCCGATCGGGTACATCATCCCTGCATCGGACAATGTCCAACTTGGAAGAGATCATGATACTCGTGCCTTGATTGCGGGTTGAGTCTACAGACCTACGGTTCAACGGTGTAGGGTGTAGGGTGTGGGAGTGTAATGGCCGGCTGTGTGTCTGAGATCATGGTACTCGTGCCTAGACCGCTCCCGCATACATTCACAGAGCCATAAAGCCTAAGCTCTGAAACGGGTTTATGAGAGGGATGAAAAACAATACTACCGATACTAGCTCTCGTTAATATATTGTTAGTATGACTGTTATTATTGTTGCCTCAAATTTTGAAGCCGCTATTTGAAGCCTGCAACAAGTGCCCAGGTTCGCAACGTGGACCAGCAGCCAGTCAAGCAGATTCATCTCAAGCACAGAGACTTGGATAGCCAATGGGAGAACCTTAAGGGTTTAGAGTTTCGGGTTTTAGAGCTTTAGGGTGTAAGCGTTTGGGTTCAGGGGTTTAGGGTTTCGGATATGGGTAGTTCTCTAAACTGGGGGGGGCCCCTTTTAAGGTCCACAAAATGACATTGCCAGTTATGAAAAGGACGCTAGAGGGGACCCTCATTTAGAGAACTACCCATATTACTTTTCTGAAAGTTTTGAGCTTTTGTGGGCCCGGCTTTTTGAACAAAAGAGGAGATCCCAAAGCTTCCACAGCGACGTCTGCGCGCAGAGAAGTGCCGTGCTTGCGGAGTTTCTTGGTATCTGAATGAGTGCACTTTACACTTAAACTTTCGTTGTGAAATTATCCCCTTTTTTTGGGTGATATTGTACACTTTTGGGTGTATTAAGCTCCCTCGAAGAATTGAAAGTTTTTCCCTTTAAGGAACCTTATAGATCCCTTTAAGGAGCCCTTTAAGGAGCCCTTACTAAGTCATGGAGGGTTAAGAACTCAGCAACGAAGGTCTGGTCCGTCCAACGGACTGGGAAACGATCCGAGCCTCAATTGCGAGGTACTCGGTGGATAAACGCCGCTGGGTTCCCCAGTAGTAGGGTTTAGGGTTGAGGGGTTTAGGGTTTAGGGGTTCAGGGTTTAGAGTTTTAGGGTTTAGGGTTTTAGGTAGTACCCTTTTGCCCTTGTTGTTTTTTTTTCGGGTTCCCTGTTTAAAACCAAACAGTGGGAACACGCTACTGGGGAACTTGGCAACCAACTGCCAATATAATTTCCCAGTTCTCCTTCTTATTATACTACCCATAGGCTCCATAGCAGTTCGATTTTGGGGTTCATATTTAGATTTCTGTAAGGTATGACCAACAAGGAACTACTATGGAGCCTATGGGTATACTATACCGTAGTGCGGAACCTAGGCGGAGAGATGGACTTGCCTGGGCTCTGGGTGAAGGCCTTCGACAGACAGTCGGGCTTCATGAAAGCATGCCGAGCTACTCTGAAGCTAGGTGGCACTTTCGCAAACTTTACAATGGGTCTTTAAGGTATCCTACAGTCTAGCTTCCAGGGCGAGCTAAGAGACTGTATAATAATGTTGGTCTTTAAGGTCTTATGAAGTTTAGGGCTTACGGTGCTTTGGGAAATTGTGTATTGGTCTTCAAGATTTTAGGTTTACATACAGGGTTTAGGTTTCCCTTGATGATCCCATATACTGGTCCTTTTTCATAGATACAGCCCAAACCCTAAACCCCAAAACCCAAAACCCCCTAAACTCCCTAATCAAACCCTCCAACCCCCTAAAAACCCCTAAACCCCAAACCCTAAACCGCCTAAACCCTAAACCCCAAAACCCTAAACCCCCTAAACTCCCTAGGTAAACCCCCAAAACCCCCCAAAACCCCAAACTTAAGAGGGGGCCTCCAGGGATCGAACTCAGGAGGCCTTGCCAGGATGCTTCGAGATCAAGGCGCAACTACTTTTGGCTGCATCTTCGCGATCCTCAGCTGGTTACCCATAAGGTTTAGGGTTTAGGGTTTAGGCATAGGCTCTGTAGTAGTTCCTTTTCGGGATTACCTCATAGGATTAAAAGATATGAAGCCCCGAAAGGAACTGCTATGGAGCCCATGGGTAATTACACTTTGTTGTGATAATCGGATCTCCTTTCTCCTATGTGAGTACACTTTGCAGGTTTTGGTATATAATGGGTACACTTTACACGCTTTGAGAAAGTAAGATCTCCTATGTGGGTACACTTCACACATTTTGGGACAATATAATCTCCTATGTGCGTACACATTACACGCTTTCGGAGAATATGACCTCCTATCTCCTATGCGGGTGCACTATGCTTGGGACAATGACAACACGATCTCTTACCCCAGGGGTCCCAGTAGCCAATAATCATATACTCTCCAAATTCCTAACCTGCATAACTACTATCCTAAAACCGAGTGCCTGATTATTGGGTCCTTTGGACCCTTGGGGTTATACGGTTGATGATACAAATCCTGCACTACCCATAAGAAGGAATATACCATAAATCCCATAGTCTAGGGCCCTTGAGGTAATGCAGGATTTATATCATCAACAGTATGATCTCTTATAGCTCTGAAGGTGTACAGAAACCTAAGGATCTCCAGCTGGAAGAAAGGAACAACTGGACTCCCAGCGAGACGGATCTAGCCGAGATGCCAAATGAGAGCGCGGTATGATTCGCTAGCCGCCTGCACGCCTTCTTGGAGGTTCATGGGTAGTGATAGTGGGATTGTAAGTAAGAAAACTATACGTATAACCCTTATTCGGGGACTTGTACAGCACTTATAAATACCCAAAATGACCTCCAAGTAGGCCCTAAACCCTATACTCTTTAGAATCCCTAGATCCCTTTAAAGGGACCCTTAAGGGAAGCTTCTTATAACCCCGCTTATAGCTACCCATGAACCTCCAAGCTGGTGTGATCGATTTCTACCCCTAGGAGCCCAGTTGCCTAGGTAATGGGTCATGGCTCCTCCTCTACTCATAGGCTCCATAGCAGTTCCTGTTGGGGGCTCATATTTAGAATTCTTTCAGGTAATCCCAAAAAGGAACTACTATGGAGCGTAGGGGTAGCCTCTACTTGCCAGGCGATGGCCAGGTAGAACCTGCACAAACTAATTTACATAAAAGGTTGGAGTAGCTTTTAACGTCTTGTAATGATTCCATCGTGTATGCCAAAGCCCTTCGAATTACTCGGGCGCCTACGTTTCCTTCTAAAGTGCCTGGGATGCTCGCGGATCAGTCTTCGGCGTCCCACAGGTCTTACTGTTTAGGGTTTGGGCTCCTACCTCTCCTTAACGATCCAAGCCCTAATAGTAGTTAAGTTCATACTATAACCCCACTTTCTTTTTTTCAGTTACTTAGGACCCTTTGGGTTTAGTCATAAATTTGTGGGTTTTGGATCGCCACTGACTGTGGTTGGGACTCTGTCGCGGAGAAGCCAGGTACTTCCAATTCGGGCTTCGGTCCCTCCGTACAGTTCGGAGCTTCCACTTCCGATCCCCCAGACTCCAAATAGGAATTTCCGAAAATAGGGGACCCTACCCTAAATAGTAGGATCCTGATTATCAGGACCCCAAGCTACGGTACCCCAATTTTCGGAAACTCCAAATAGCCCAAGGAGGGCACGATTTCTCAACTTTTGCGCGCCAAGGTACGTGCTATTTTTATGCTTGGAGTCTTAGCGGATTCACGGCCCCTCAGGAGCCTTGTGTTTTATTTGATCAGTCGTCGGAGGTTCATGGGTATTTCTAGAGCTAGACTTATATAACTACCCTTTTTCGGGGACTTGTAACCCCATTTATAACTACCCTAAACCCTAAAAAAAACCCTAAATCCATATAGAGCCCTTTAAACGAACCTCCTAAGTCTCAGCAGCGTAAAGTGTAGCATGCCATGTGTGTACACGTCGCACTGGCTTCGAAGCTGAAGCTGCGGTCCCTAAGTGTCCATGTACCCAAATGGGGTTCCCCTTTAAGGATTACTATGTAAGGGTTCTATACGGGCTCTAGAGGGTTTAGGGTTTAAAGGTCCATGTACTCAAATAGCAAAACAGCTTTTTGGCCTTAACGTATTTCCTATATAGGTACATTGGGCCCAAAGTGTATACTATTTCGGCACATGGACCCTTAGGGTGGCACTCGCACGGGAACCGCTGCCTGTGCGGAATCGCATTTTTCCGACCAACCCCTTCGGGTCAGATGTACCTCGAGTCTCCATTGTAGTTCCTTTTTGGGTTACTATTATAGGATCCTAGACATGAGGTCGGTTTAGCCGAAAATAGGAACCACAATCCTTAGACCCTACCCCAACCCGGAACAGCCTACCGTTTTAGGGTTTTATATAACTAAATCACAATAAGGAACCCTA